AAGTTTGCACCTAATTTTCCTGTGTACTTACATAACAAGCACTTCGCCTCCTGTTTCATTTTGTATTTATAATCCATTATTATCGTTCCAGTGAGTCACTGAGGTCAGGAAACTGGCCCAGGATTACATTCCTAGGACACAGCAGACTTGGAATACCAACACCACATCTCCATGACCCCCAAATCTGTGCTCAAGTTAGAGTGCTGTGTGGCCTCATCTATGCCCTTCTAACACTCAGTGTCTCCACTGTGCTCCCTTTTTTCACACCTGCTGTTATCTGGCTCCTTTCTCTTTGTACTAGCATCCAGAGTTTTGTCCATATTCAAAGTTTCTTCAGAAAACAAACCTTAACACAAAGGTCTGTAATTTCCATTTCATTAATTTTCACTCATTTCCTTTCCCCAATTTTCTTTAAGTGTTTGCTCTTCCTCTTCAGGAATAGTTCATTTATCTTTAGCTTCCATCATAATGAGTATCTAGTCAATAATGTTTCCCTCACCTACATCTTTTCTACAAGTTTTCGTATGTTGTATTGGTAATTATTCAGTCCCAAGAATCTTTAAGTCTCCATTATATTAGTGACGTGCTGCAGTGCATAAATTATCTGAGGTGTTTTTAAACTCACAGATGTACACTTTTCTAAATTGATGGTAAGGTAATCACAGACTGCAGAGTGTTCTGGCCTGTGATCACTTTCATCCATTTCCTTTGTGCTGTGGAGAATGTGCACTCATAGATTGGTGCTCCGCATTTTGGAACCCATCTGATTGGTACTTGACACATTTTGACATGAACACTTTGTCCCAGTACTTGTCATTTGTTTGGTACTTGAAGCACAAGCTAGCATTTGTTGGTGCCAATTGCCTCGTGACTCACTACCCTTTCTAGCCAAAACGGTTTCTTTGGTAATGGTTGTGCCTCCTGAAACCAGTTCATGACAAATACCGAGGTGCTGATATGTATCGGTCAACTTTTAAGCACAGTGTTCTACAAGAGTTAATTCTATAAAGTGTGTTGATTGTACTATTTGTTCCTTCTGTATATTTTAGATTTATTTTGTGTTTTGATCTATCAGTTACAGAAATGGACCATGTATTAAATGTCTCACTATGGTGGTAAATTTAGCGCCATTCTTGTAGTTTTATAAAACTTTCCATTCAACTATCTGAATCTATATGTCTAAGTCTAGCTGCATCCAGAATACTCACAGCTGCCAGTGAATCTAGTCCCTCACTGTTATGCAGTTACTATCTCCAGTAATACTTTCTGATTTAATGACTATTGTGTCTCATATTAATATAACTATACCAGCTTTCTCTTAAAAGTATTTACCTGGCATATCCCTTTCCTTCAACTTTCAACATTTCTGATGAAATGGCTCCTTTGTAGGTGTGGCTTCTGAAAAGGAATTACCAAACTAGATTTTATTATTTATTTATTTATAGCTTTTTCTTTTTTTTTTTTTTTTTTTTTTTTTTTTTTT